CGCCGGGCTCGGGCTCGGCGTCGGGTCCGCGGGCTTGCACACCGAGGGGTAGTCGGCGCAGCAGCTCTGGAAGTCCTGGCGCCCGGGCGTGGCCCCCCCCAGCCGGGGGGCGGCGGGCCGAGGAGCGCGGCGCGCGCCGCCGGGGGGCGGCGGGAACCGGCCCTGCGAGGGCCTGCGCGGGCGGGCCGGGGCCCGGAGGGGGGCCAGGACGGGGCATCGTCGAGCAAGTTTTTCTAGAGACTCAGGCGAGTTGACCTGCATGGCGTTCGCCCCGCCTCCCCCCCCCATCGCCCCTCTTCAAACGAAGACTAGCGTTCAAGTTATTCTATAGACTCAGGCGAGTCTACTTGCATGGCGGTCGCCCCGCCCGCCCCCCCCGCCGTCGCCCCTCTTCAGACGGAGACTGGCGTGCAGGTGCCTTTCGGCGTGCGTGGCTTCCGCACGTGCACGTCGTCTGCGGCTGGCTTCAGGTTCAGCCCCCCTCCCGTCCACGCAAGTAAACTTGCTGGAGTCTTTTTTTAGAATAAAAAAGCAAAACAACAAAAAAACATTTCTTGTCTAGACAAGCGCGTTCCACTACTCGCAGAGCAACCACTCGCTGATGGCCTGGATCCCGCGCGGAGGATTCAGGATCCACTGCGTCGAGGCAAGCATGGGATTCTGTCAGACGTTTGCGAGTAGGCACTATGTAGTGGAACGCGCTCGGTGATCTGAGGACTTCATCTGGAATTGGAATGGCGGGAGCTAGAATCGAAAATATGGTCGTCAACGCCAGAACGGAGTCAGAATCAGAAATGGGCTGGCCGAAGCTGCGGAACGCCCCCTGGCCAAGTGTTGCCAAGGGCGTCCCTGACCCCAGGAGCCCCAAGGATTCCAGGGGAGACCCAGACGGCCTCCATAGCACCCCCGTGGAACGAACCCAACGTTTGAGGTGCGACTGGGGAGTCGACCGGCTGGGCCTCCAGAGCACCCCTCGCGAGGCCCAGAGGACCCATAGGAGGGGCTTCGAAATCGCGCGACAGCTGGGGACACTTCGGGCAAGGATTAAGTCGGGCCTGTCCTCCTACAGGGCGATTTTGGACGACAAAGAAGAAATAGTCAAACAATGCCCAATCAAAAAATACTATCACAAATCGTCCCCCTATCCTCCTGCAGAGGGACAGGCCCGACTCCAGGCACGTGCGCGGCCCATGGGGGGGGGGGGGAAGGGACGTGATGAAGTAAGGAGAGGCTCCATGACATCTGGGGAGATCTCATGGCCCCGCCAAGATATCCGCCCCCCCCCCCCCCTAGTCATCACGCCCCTCTTTGTCGCCCACGAGAAATAAGAAGAAACCCCATGAAATCTGGGGAGATATCATGGCCCCCGCCATGATGTCCGCCCCCCCCCCCCCCCCCCCCCTAGTCAGGGAGTCCACAAAAGACATACGCGCCCAACCATGTACATGAACACCGCCCCTCGATCCGCGAGACCGGCCGCGTATGACGAACGTTCGCGCTCGCACAACACGTACTCTCGGAACCAACGTGGATTCATGTACGTGCACGTCCTCCTGTCGCTCATGACTGGTCATCGCCCCTTCTTGGCCGCACCCGAGCTTTGGGCCGGGAGCGCGTCTCGCAGCGACCGACCTGGGAGGCCGGGGAGGGGGGGGGGCGGCCTGGGCCGACCCCGAAGGCCTCTCGCGCCGTGGAAGCAAAACCCGACGCCACGTGTGGCAATTTTCACGGGGCCCCAGGGCACACACAGCCAGATGCACACAAATCACAGGATTCCAAATATTTTCCGCATTTTCGGAATTCGCGTCTGTCCCCCACTTCCCATATGTTCCCATCGTTTCCCGGGAATCGACGATGAATTAATGCGATTGTTCCCCCCTCTGAAATTCTTGACGCTTCGCGTATCCCCACCAGCCCATCCAGTAACGATGCCCAGGCGAATGGAGGTGATCAGGGAAGTGAGGGAGCATACAGAGTAACAAAGGGCTGGGGAACCCGTCTTACCCAAGACGGCGAGGATGGATGAGGAATCGGAGGAGGATGAGGAGGAGGAGGAACTGAAGGAGGAGGAGGGGGAGCGGGAGGAGGGAGGAGGGAGGAGGAGCAATAGGCGGATGAGGAGGAGGAGGAGCAGGACGATAATGATGAGGAGGATGGGGAGAAGGGCGAGCAGAATGGCCAGAGGCCTCTTGGATGCCTCTCGGAGTCTCTTCGGATGTCTCTTGGGAGCGTCCTGAAGGCCTCTTAGGGCGTCTTGGGAGCGTCTTGGCGGTCCCGGGGGCCTCTTGGGGCGTCTTGGGTGCCTCCTGGGCGCCTCTTGGGGCCATCTTGGAGCGATCGATCAAAGCAGAGGGTGGGGTTAATTAGCCCTGCCCCTCTAGATCCTCTAAAATCGCCTCTTGGGCTCATCTTGAGGCGCTCTTCGGGCGCTCTTGGGCGCTCTTGGGGCCGTATTGAGGCTCTCTTGGGCCCCTCTTGGGGCTATCTTGGGCCCTCTTGGAGCCATCTTGAGGCCTCGGAAGGCCATCGGAAGCGAAAAGGCGAGAAAGCAAAAAACACTGATGTTCCTTCGGTTGTTGAAGGCTGTTGGCCTCTTGGAGGCCTCCTGGGAAAGCTAGTTGGCCTCTTGGAGCCGTCTTGGGGCAGTCTTCGGGCCTATTGGAATATCTTCGGAGTCATCTTGAGGCATCTGAGGCTAGCTTGAGCAATCTTGGAGCTCATCTTGAGCTCCCCGAGGCGCTCTTGGAGCCATCTTGGGCCATCTTGGACGCTCCAACTACCAGCGAAACCTCCCGTCCAGGTCCAGGGGAGGGGGTAGGGGGAGGGGTAAGCCCCTCCCCGAAGGTGAAGAAAGGGGGTTGGAAGAGGAAACTCCCTAAACCACCTACGCCCAGACGGCTGGTGGGATTTGTCCGCCCTGGGGAGCCCTGGTGCCCTCAGAGTGCGGCTCGGCATGGCCGACCTGTCCCCAGGGAGAGGTCCAGACCTCTGGGGAGCCACGCTGACAGGAAGTCACGGCGTCGATGCCTGGGTCGGCCAGGCTCCAGGGCGTGGAGCTTCTGCGGGGATTCGGATGGGGAGCCCTGCGCCACTGAACAGGGAGGACAGGAGGACGGGTGGGGGAGGAAGACGAAGGAGGGAAAAGGGGGCCAGTAGGGGGAAGAAGGGGAAGGTCCTGGGGAGGAAGAGGAGGATCCTTTTTTCCGCACCGCGCAGCCTTCAGCCCACAGGGTGTCGCCGCGCCGGCCGCAGCGGCGCGACGCCCCGCGCGCGCGGCCGGCGGGCGAGTCCGACCGAACCACACGGGGAAAAACGACGGGGGCCCCAAAGGACGGGCCGCGCGGCGCCGCGCCGCCCGCCCCCAGGGACCCAGGTTTCGAAATCCCGCGGAATCCTGTGGGGTGGGGCGCGGTCTCCCGCGCCCATAGTGTGTGTCCGACGCGCTCAAGCAGCCGAGGAGGAGGAGGAGGAGGAGGAGGAGGTGGAGGAGAAGGAGGAGGAGGAGAAAAAGGAGGATATGGAGGACGAGGAGGAGGAGGAGCAGCGGAGGATAGCGGAGGATGGCGGATGAGGGGGAGAAAAGGGGAGGGAAGAGGGGGAGGACCAAGACCAAAGCAGGGCTCATGCAATCCAGAACACGCCGGTCTACGAGGTACTGCGTCAACCAAAAAGAAGTGCTGCTGGCAGCTACCTAGAAGAAAAACGCCACAACGTAAAAGTTGTGAGGCGCCGCGCAGATTTCTTGGATCTGCGCTGGGCCCCCGTCTCTGGCGGCGCGCGGAGCGGGCCTGGGGCGAAGCCGGAGGCACCGCCAGGGGCGGCCCAGCGCGGATCCGAGAAATCCGCGCGGAGCGCCACCAGTTTGTGCTTATGGCGCTTCTTCTTCTTCTTCTTATTCTTCTTTGACCTTCGACTATCACGACGAGGAGCTCGAGGAGGAAAAAGAGAGGAGCGATACCCACACGACTCCGTGTCACTGCACTGGAGGCGATGGCGAAGGATGGGCGCTCACTGCCGCAGGGGTCCTCGCAGGCAGCGTTGCACTGACAGCTGTTCTGCTCGTGGAAGCTGCCACAGCCTCGCGCGGGCGAGCGGGGCACTCGAGGCGGACGCGCCTCTCCTTCTCCTCCTCCTCCTCCTCCTCTTTTTCCTCCTCCTCCTCCTCTTCTTCTTCTTCTTCTTCTTATTATTATTCTTCTTCTTATCATTATTATCATTATTCGTCTTATTATTCTTCTTCTTCTGCTTATTATTCTTCTTATTATGCTTATTATTATTATTACTATTATTAGTATTAGTATTATTATTCTTACTATTATTATGTTTCCTCCTCCTCCTCCTCCCCCTCCTCCTCCCCCTCCCCCTCCCCCAACTCCTCCGCCCCTGCCCTTTGTCCTCCACCTCTTCCTCCTCATCCTGCTCCTATTTCTCCTTCTCCTCCTCTTCCTCCTCCTTCTCCTCCTTCCAATCACAATCATCATCAGCAGCAGCATCATCATCATCACCATATCATCACCATCACCATTACCACCATCATCATCACCATCCTCATCACCATCATCATCACCATTCATGATCATGATCATCATCATCAGCAGCATCACCAGTCGTCCAAGCAAGCACGCAAACACTTTCATCATTAAGCAACGATGTGTCATCAACAACTGCCATCATCAGCAAGCAGCAAACACTATCACCATCATCATCAACAACAGCATCATCACAATCACCATCAGCACCATCACCATAATCATCATCATCGTGGTCGTCATCAGCATAACCATCCTCATCGCCACCATCACCACCATCCCATCACAACCATCATCAGCACCATCATCCGCATCATCATCATCATCATCATCATCATCATCATCATCAGCAGCAGCAGCAGCATCATCATCGCCATCGGCAGCCGCAGCAGTATCACCAACATTCTCACACTTGTCATCACCATCACCAGCATCATCATCAGCATCAGCATCATCACCATCCTCAGAATCGTGCTCCTCCTCCTCCTCCTCCTCCTCCTCATCATCATCATCATCATCACCATCACCACTATCCTCGTCATCGTCGACGTCATCTCCATCGACATCCTCACCGTCCACCTCCCGCGCCTGCTCGCCCCACTCCCGCGAGCAGCCTGCACCATCCTGCCCGCCCGCCTGCCCGTGCCTGCCCGTGCCTGCCTGTGCGCCTGCTCCTCCGCCCTGGGCCCGGAGGCGGCAACAGCAGGCGATGCAGCTTCGCCGCCCCCGACTCGCGCGGGCGAGCGAGGCTTTTGAGACGGGCACTGGTCCCTCCTCCTCATCCCTCTCCTCCTCCTCCTGCTTCCCATCCTCATCCTCATCCTATTCCTTGGCATGTTCCTCCTCCTCCACCTCCCTCCTTCTCCCTCCCTCCTCCTCCCTCCTCTTCCTCCTCCTCTTCCTCCTCCTCCTCTTCCTCCTCCTCCTCTCCATTACTGTTCCTCCACATCCTCCCTCGCCTCCTCCTCCTCGTCGACCTCCCTTCCCCTCTCTTCGCCTCCCTCCTCCCCCGCTGCAGCCAGAGCATGGCCACGAGAACGCGAATCGAGAGCACGAACCCTGGCGCCAAAGGCCAGGTGCCCCGTGGAGAGAAGCCCAGAACGAAAAGCATCCCAAGCATCCCGAGGTCAGCGACGAGAACAACAACAAGTCTTTCGCGAGATGGCGTAGCGACCTGCTCCGCGGCTTACGCGGGCCGCCAGCGCGGCCCGCTACAGTGGAAGCGAGGGCGCTCACGCACAACCTTCCGCAATCAACTTACGCACGAAGGTCCCCGCGGACTCCGCCGCTCCGGTGGGGGCCCCAGACACGGGAGATGGGACTGTGGGGCGTCCAACAGGGGGGCGTCCAAGATCGGGGGTTCGCAGACCATGGCCCGAGGCACAAGCGCGGCCCAGGGAGGCCAGAGAGCGTGTTGGAATCATGAGGATTGGCAACGAGATCCACGGAGATGTCATGGCCCCGGCCATGATATCCATCGCCCCACTGGTCATCACCCCCCTCTCATGGCCGCCCCCGAGATCTTGCCGGCATTCGGCCACGGATACACAAGCCCCGACGCCGAATGGAACCTCCCAGGCGTTGCATCTGATTCGGGGAAGGGCCCCGTCGGGCGAGGGGGGTGGTAGCAGAGGGAAGCCAGCGCGTCAGCGCACGCATCCTACGGTGGCAACTCACGGGAGGCTCCCGTGTGATCTTGCTGGCTCCCGCGAATCGACGCTGACCGGCGCCAGTCGACGCCAAACGCCAGACCGACGCTCATCGACGCCAAGCGGCGCTCTCGCATCAACTGCCAGGCGCTGGCGCACGATGATGCACCCGAAAAACGGTATCCCGAGGACATGCAAGGCTGCGTCGGTGTCCCTTCGGTGGGAGACTACGTGGCCTCTGACGCTGTCCCATTTGGGCCTCACATTTGGAACCAGACTTGGATCGGATTTGAACCACAGTCGCCCCTTCACAGGGGAGACGAGAAGAACGAGGGGGAGGGGGAACCGGAAGGGCGAGGAATAACAGGAGGATGCGGCACACATGCAGGACAAGCAGACTTCAAAATCGCAGTCCGAGATCTATCATCAATCTTAGCTTTGGGAAATGGGTCTTGAGGGAAACAAATCCTGGACCCTGGTGCTTTCCCACAAGACGAGTCTTGCATCCCGAGCCGTTCTCTGACAGTCCTGAGGCCTGTGGAAGGCCCCGAGAGCCCGAAAACGGCCAACATCCTCAGGACCCTTTTCCCTCAGGACTCGTTTCCGCATGGCGATCGATCGATCGATCGACCGACCGACGGAGACGACGCAGGCGGCGGGCGGCGACCGAACACCGCGCAGCCGTCGGCGGCCAGGGCGGCGCCGCCCGGCGAGGGGGCAACGAGGGGCGACCTGGCACGGCGACGTCGGAAGGCGCCGTCGCCGTCGCCGTCGTCGTCGTCGTCGTCGTCGTCGTCGGCGTCGGCGTCAGCGTCGGCGTCGTCGTCGTCGTCGGCGTCGGCGTCGTCGTTGTCGGCGTCGTTGTGGTTGTCGTCATCGTCGTCGTCGTCGCCGCCGCCACCGCCCATCTGCGCGGCCGCAAACATGGTCCGCCCGCCGCGGCGAGCTGGCAGCGGGGATCAGCGGCAGGGCGCCCAAGTGGGCGCATCGCGCGCCCGCGATGAGCGCGACCCGCGCTTCATTTGGCGCAAGCGGCTCCTTCCCCCCTCACAGCGCCCACCTGCCCAACAGGTCGAACTGGTCTCCCAGGCCCCGCGCCCCGCTGGCCGAAGAAGTCTCGCAGGTCCCGCGGAACGCACAGGTCCCCCGAGTCCCCACCTACTATGCAAATGCATTGCTGGGGCAATGGGGATCCATGTCGACTTTGACACGCGTTACTGGGCTATGTCTGGCGCATGCCAACAGTGGATGTAAAGTACGGCGCGAGCGAACCTAGCCTGCCCCCTCCCGTCTCTCCTTTTCCTCCTCCTCCTCCTCCTCCTCCTCCTCATCCCCTCCTCCTCTCCTCCCCTGGGATCCAGGCGCTGCATTCTTTCACCAAGGGCGGGTTCGTTTTTGGGCCCCTGGATCACCACGGATTGATGCGCTTCGGAAAACGGAGCAAACAAATGGGGTTAAGGGATGCCGGTCGTGGTTATTGACGGCGTTCCATTGTCTTCGCGGCGTCGGACCCGACCTCAAGGTCCCTCTCCCCTCTGCTCCTCCTCATTCCTCCTCCTCCTCCTCCTCCTCCTCCTCCTCCGCCGCTTCCTCCCCCCGCCGCCGCTCCTCCTCCTCCTCCTCCTCCTCCTCCTCCTCCTCCTCCTCCTCCTCCTCCTCCCCGTTGTGCCGACCTCCACGGTCTACCGGAAGGAGAGCTTGCGAATGGACGGAGGGGCCTACCTGGCCACGGTGAGCCTCGGCCACGGCGAAAGCCCCAAGCCAGGTACAGTCATCGGCCTGACCTAAGGAACGATAGATAAGGAACAAAGCCATTCTTTTGTCCAAGTAAGTCTACGACGTCCGAAGGAACGGCCGACCCGCGCGTCCAAAATCTGAAGGAACACCAAGGGGGGCTCGCCGCCAAAAGGGTAGCGGAACGCATGCAAACCTAAGGAACGACCGAGCCCCTTTTGAGAAGTAAGTGTTCCTTATTCAAGCCGCTCACTGTAGACCTCTGGCCGCGAGGCGCACAGCGCGCTCCCCTTCGCCCCCCCCCCCCCCGCCCTGGGCGACCCACGCCTTCGAAGCCGCGCTGCCTGCGCTGGGCCACCCACGCCTTCGAGGCCGCGCCGCTTGCACGACGCCGGCCGTTGGACGGTCTGACTGGGCCGCGCCTTCCCCTCCTCGCTCTCTCTTCTCTCTCGCCTTCGTGCCTCGACATGTAGGTCGGGCGTGTCCCTCTATGAGAGGAGTGCTCAAAAATAGTTTTAAAGATACCTGGGGACGATGGTTTGAATAGTCTGTAGCATTCTTCTTTAAATGTTTTGCATTGTGTTTAAATGTTCGTCCAAAATCCGCCTGTCGGAGAACACGCCCGACCTAAACCTCGAGTCGCTTTCGGTGCCTCCCACCGCCCACTCGCTTCGACTGGCGCCTGACCGTCTTGCACCACCTGGCGCCCGCGGACCTAAAAAGGTGCTCACAACGTGGCTCCCCAGAGGCCTGGGCCACCCCCCTCGATCAGGTTTTTCCTCCAGCGTCGTTCTGTGGACGGTCCCCGGGGCCCAGTCAGGGCCCCCAGGCCGGACACTGCCAAACCCTCCCAGTCGTGACTCCGTCGACGCGATGATGCCAGCCTGAGGTCGGGCATGTCCTCCTCCTACAGGCGGACCGTGGACGAAAAACAACAAATAGCCAAGACATCTTCCAAACAATACAATAAGAAAACTAGAACAATCGTCTCCAGACAATGTCTTGACTGTTTTTGAATACTCCTGCTGTAGAGGGACCTGCCCGACTTAATGTCATCCCCTTCTGCTTCTCCTGCTCTGTCGGTTGGGTGAGCCTTCATGGGAGCATCTGTGAACTTCCGCGGCCCTAGAATAGGCGTGATGTCGACCGGATTTCGTCCAGATTGCGACCGCCCGTCTGCACACTTTCGTCCAGGGTTCGTCCAGAGTCCGTTCAGCTGCCGACCAAATCCGACTACATTCTGAGGGGATCACCACAGTCGCAAGGCACTCTAGGACCCTTAAACTCCCATCAAGGACCACACAATATCGCGACTACAACTTTGGAAGAAGAAAAAACGCTGCAAGCATTTGGCGCTCCGCGCGGATTTTTTGGGTCCGACGCTGGACCCCTCTCCCTGGCGCGCGGAGCGCGCCAGGGGCGGCGCCGGAGGCGCCGCTGGGGGTGGCCCAGCGCGGATCCAAGAAATCCGCGCGGAGCGCCGAAAGTTTATCTGTATGGCGTGCTTTCTTCTTCAGAAAATTGGGCCCCTCATGCTCCTTCTCCTCCTCCGGCCGCCCGGAGCGGGGGTGGCGACCCTGCGGCGGCCAGTGCGGAACCGCCTCCGGCAGGGGCGGCCTGCGACATGGCCTCCTGGGGAGCGCGACCGCGCGGCGCGCAAGAGGTGAGGAGGTGGACCCTGACAGCCTCGCGTCTACCACTCCGACTAGTCCTGGTACGACTGTAGAAGGTCAGACAAAACGCCGATACAGGAGTGTGCGTGTGTATACATATATATATATATATATGAGGTGTGGTGAATGCAGATGCACATATCCGTACAATTACACATACATACACAGATCGATTCTCCAATCAGTGCTCGCACTGAGGGGGTCCTGGCGGATATTTGTGAAGATTTCCCCCCCCAAAAAAAAAAACAGGCCAATTTCGGAAGACGGCCGGGTCCCCGGGTTCCCAGGGTGCCGGCTCCGGCTTCCCGATTGCTGGTTCTTGGCCGATTTGGTGGGCGTGGCGAAGTTCCCGGGTTTCCGAATTCCTGGGGTCGTGGTCCTTATCGACCAGTGCCACCATCGATTTCACAATCGATCTCACGATCGATCTCACGATCGACTTTATTATTCATCGCACGATCGATCTCACAATAGATATCACCAAGGATATCACTGCATCGACTTCACCATCGGTCCGACGATAGACCTTACTATCGTCATCACGATTGAGCCCACGATTCACTATTGATCTCACAATCGATATCAATATCCATGTCACTGATTTTCAAATCATCCGCTGATTGGGGTTCCGCTCTGGTATTTTACATGTGCATGTGTGTATGTATGTAGGCAAACGTGGACCCGTAAACGGTGGGTTTCTGGCAAGATGCGTTGTGCAAATCATGTGGGGCAATTCGTGTGGTCAAATAGATGTGTTGCAGTCTATATTGTGCAGTCTTCGTTGGGCAGTCTGCGTGGTGCAACCTAACTTGTGGAGCAAACTATGTTCTCCAATCAGTGCTTGCACTGAAGGGGTCCTGGCAAAAATTTGGAGATTTTGCAAAAAGTACCGGGCCGACTTCGGCAGGACGGCGGCGACGACGACAACGACGACGACGAGTTTGAGCCCTGCTTTGAGTGAGCCTGGAACGGCCCTGGCTAGGCAGCTCCAACGGGCACGGAGAACAGAACTGCCCCAGGAGCTGGCTGGTGACGACGACGACGACGATGGCAGACGCGCGAGCGTGCGCTGCACACTCTGTTCGGCGCCGCCTTTGCGCGGTCAGCGTTAAACCGAAAGATTTGGTGGCGTCCAACCGTGTTGCCAAAGTGTCCCACTAGAGGGGTAGCTTGGCCGGTCGCGCCAGGGCGCCGAGCTCCGCAAAATGAAACGCTTGGCGGATGGATGGATGCGAGCTCTGTCCGCGGCCGGGATCCCGCCGACATCTGCACGGACTCCCCCATGCGCCTCCGGCAACTCCCGTTTCCCCTCACTCATCCACTCTCCTCCTCCCTCCCCATTCGTCGCTATCCTCCTGCCTCTCCAACTCTTCCTCCTCCTCCTCCTGTTTCTCTTCCTTCTCCTTCTCCTCCTCCTCCTCCTCCTCGTCCTCCTCCTCCTCTCGCCCTTATCCTCGTGATCGTCGTCGTTTTGCTGTTCCTCCTCCTGGTCCTCCTCCTCCTCCTCCTCCTCCTCCTCCTCCTCCTCCTCCTCCTCCTCCTCCTCCTTTCCGTCTCCTGATGACAAATTTCTCCCTGTCGCATCCTGGGGCCAACCTTCAGGACGGGTCGGACGTTTCGCCTGAAACATTTCCACCATGTATGACTCTGAAGCATAAAATTGGTAAGACGTTCACAGATGGAGGGCGAGTCGCTTTCAAAATGGGGCTCTCCCCTTGAGCGCAGCGCACATTCGTTGTCAAACTATGCAACAGTTTCACGGATTGAGAGCGGTGCTTTCAACATGTGGCTCTCGCTTGAGCGCGGCGCACTTTCTTGTCAAACTTTGCCAGAGTTTCTCGGATTTGGGGCGGGTTGTTTTCACACGGTGGTTTCTCGACTTAGCGCGACGCACATTCGTTGTCAAACTTTGCCGGAGTTTCACGGGTTGGGGGCGGGTTGTTTTCAAAATGTGGTTCTCGACTTGGCGCGGCGCACATTCGGCTTGAAAGCATGCAAGAGCTTCACGGAGTGAGGGCGGTTCCTTTTCAAAATGTGGCTCTCGACGTAGCGCAGCGCACATTCGTCTCACAAAAATTGCAAAATCTGTGCGGATTGAGGGCAGCTCCTTTTTTAAATGTGGCTCTCGCTTTAGCGCAGCGCACGTGTGTTCACAAAGTGCAATTTAACGGTCTCTCATCAATCACCAATGTTCTAGAAATGGTGTTCTGTAAGGATTCAGGATTATGCGGGCGCAACAGTTACGTTGATTCGTTGTGCTGATGTCCCAAGAAAATGGCGTTCTGGCACAATTCGGGATGGTCAAGACACAACAGTCAGATTGATCCGTGGCGCTGCCCGAGAACAATGTATTGGCATTCTTTCGGGTCTTCAAACGGTTGTCTTCCAACTAGGCAGTTCCCACAATGGAACTGAACCATTCTGGGGCCTATCTATGAAGAGGGAGCTTGGAGGGGGTGGTGATTCCAACATCGCTGGTGGCTCTTGGGTTTACGCTGGTCTTCCTCCTCCTCCTCATCCTGCTGCGTCCGCCCACACATCCACGATCTCGCAATATGGCTGCTATTCTCCTCGGGTCCTGTTCGAGCGGGGCAGCTCTTCTCCCATAAACGATCATCATATATTCAACTACATATACATATAAGGCGACTGCACACACTGATATTTGCATTGGGTTGGTTCAGACTCTCTGCAGACTTTCAAACAAAAACTCTCCCGCTGCAACGTTGGCCTCATTTTGGGATCGACGCTTTGCTCCTACCGTTCAGAATGTTCCCGCCGCGGCGCGGGCCGCAATTCTGGATTCGAGTCCTGCCTCGTCGTTGTCGCCCCACTCCTTTACCTTCCTCCGCCTTCCCCTGGTCTTTCTGCACCTTGCGCTCCACCCACTCCTGCTTCTGCTCCTGCTGCTGCTGTTGCTGCTCGACGTCCCCCTCCTTCTTCATCCCCGCCACCTCCTCCCCTCTCAGTGTACGCAGCTCTCCTTCCTGGATTGCCCATAAGACGGTGGGGCCCATTGGGGGGTGTTCCAGATCCTCTGTGACACCCGTCGGCGGGTGAAGACAAGTAAGCGCAGTGGGAAGGGATGAGCGGGAGGGGTCGGATGTCAGGCATGGTGCGAGCACAGCTAGCTTGTCACTATCCCTCTCCCACCTCCTCTGTCCTTCCCCCCCTCCCTCCCCCAATCCTCCTATTCCTCCTGCGCAACCCTACTCTGCCATGCCTAAGTCCTACTCCTCCTCCTGCTCCTCATCGTATTCCCCCCTCCTGCTCCGCATCTCCAACGCAGTCCAGCAGCCTCACACTTGTACTGGAGCCGCTCTCCTCCTCGTCCTCCTCCTCCTCCTCCTCCTCCTCCTCCTCCTCCTCCTCCTCCTCCTCCCCTCCCCCTCGACTGTCTCCCGCCTCTCCGTCCATCATCTCCTCTTCTGGGTATCGTCAAACCGGCGTGGCCTGGGCCCCACTGGCCGATTTACCCCCCTAGATGGGGTTATAGGTCGTTCCCTTTGGGCTTCGAGGGGCGCACGTATCCCCAACTGGGGTGGTAATGTGGTGGGGGTCTCGAAGGGGGTGGGGATGGGGATGGGGATCGGTTAAACGATACCGATCTTCGCAATCCCCCCCCCTGCGCCCAGACCTCGAACGCGTGGCCCACCGAGAGCGTGGCGGGCCCCGTTGTGCTGCCGCCCTTCACCCCTCAGCCCACCTCCGGCTGCCCAGCGGGCCCCCGACCCTCTCCGGGACAGCGGACAGCGAGCAGGGCGGAACTGCAATTGAAGCCTCTTCCTCCTGCTCCTGCTCCTGCTCTTGCTGCTCCTCTTCTTCCTCCTCCTCCTGCTCCTCGTCCTGCTCCTCCTCCTCCTCCCTCCTCCTCCTCCTCCTCCTCCTCCTCCTCCTCCTCCTCCTCCTCCTCCTCCTCCTCCCCCTCCTCCTCCTCCTCCTCCTCCTCCTCCTCCTCCTCCTCCTCCTCCTCCTCCTCCTCCTCCTCCTCCTCCTCCTCCTCCTCCTCCTCCCTCCTCCTCCTCCTCCTCCTCCTCCTCCTCCTCCTCCCTCCTCCTCCTCCTCCTCCTCCTCCTCCTCCTCCTCCTCCTCCTCCTCCTCTCCTCCCCTCCTCCTCCTCCTCCTCCTCCTCCTCCTCCTCCTCCTCCTCCTCCTCCTCCTCCTCCTCCTCCTCCACCCTCCCCCCTCCCCCTCCTCCCCCCTCCCCCTCGCCCTTCCCCCTCCCCCTCCCCCTCCTCTTCCTCTTCCTCCTCCTCTTCCTCCTCCTCCTCTTCCTCCTCCTCCTGCTGCTCTGGCTGCCGCGACCCTGGTTGTCCGCGCCCAGGTTCCCGCCCGCGGAGGTCCGCGGGCCCATAAGGAGGCGAGGCGACGGGGGAGGCGTCGCCTCCTCCTCCTCCTCCTCCTCCGCCTCCTCCGCCTCCTCATCCTCCTCCGGCAACCGTCCATGTTTGGGACGAGCAGCGTGTGACAATCGTCCATGCACCACAGCCTCACACCGCCTACGGGGCCCAGCAGAAGAGCCACAGGGCACTCACAAAAAAAGCCCATCCTCCGACCTTGAGCGTGAATTACTGGGGGGCGGCAAGTGTGTGTGTGTGTGTGTGTGTTTTGTGTGTGGTGTGTGTGTGTGGTGTGTGTGGTGTGTGTGTGTGTGTGTGTTGTGGGTGCTTGTTTGTTTGTGTTTGTTTTTGTGTGTTTGTTTGTGTGTGTTGTGTTTGTTTGCTTGTGTTGTGTGTTGTGTGTGTGGTGTCTGTGTGAGTGTGTGTGTGTTTGTTTGGTTGTGTGTGTGTTGGTTTGTTTGTGTGTGTGTGCGTGAGTGTGTGTGTGTTTGTTTGTGTATGTGGTGTGTGTTGTGTGTGTGGTTGTTTGGTTGTGTGGGTTGTGTATGTTGTGAGTGCTGTGTGTGTGGTGTGTATGTGTGTGTCTGGTGTGTGTGTGTGGTGTGTGTTGTGTGGTGTGTGGTGTGTGTGTGTGTTTTGTTTGTTCGTGTGTGTTGTGTGTTTGTTTGTTGTGCGTGTTTGTTTGTGTGCGTGTCTGTTGTGTGTGTGTTGGTTTATTTGTTTGTGTGTGTGCATTGTATGTGTGTTGTGTGTGAGTGTGTATGTGTGTGCGTGCGTGCGTGCGTGCATGGGCGGGTGGGTGTGTGTGTGTGTGTGTGGGCGTGCGTGTGTGTGTGCGTTGTGTGTGTGTGTGTGTGTGTGTGTGTGTGTGTGTGTGTGGTGTGTGGGGGGGGGGGGGGGGGGGGGGCTGAGGTTCGCTCTCGCCCCGCAGACCAAAAAGTGTGTGCGTTGTGTGTGTTGTGTGTTTGTTTGTTTGTGTGTGTTTGTTTGTTTGTTTGTGTGTTGTGTGTGTGTTTGCTAGTTTGTTTGTTCGTGTGTTGTGTGTGTTGTGTGTTGTGTGTGTGAGTGTGTGTGTGTGTGTGTGCGTGCGTGCGTGCGTGCATGGGTGGGTGGGTGGGTGTGTGGGTGTGGGTGCGTGGGTGTGTGTGTGTGCTTGTGTGTGGGGGGGGGAACGTGCAACTTCTGTGCCCCGTGAGGTCCCACGGGCACCCGTTTAGGGCCCCTTGATGGCACAGAATGTGCATCTTTCCTTTCCCCCCCCCATTTAGCGCCCCCACCGTTCCTCGACCCCCGACAGCGCCGCGCAAGAATGACCTCGGACCTGGGTCAACCCAAACCTGGGTCAACCAGGCTTTGCAAAATCCTGCAAGAGCATGCAGGCTCCTGCAGCATCACGCACGCTGACCCTCCACCCCTCTACCTTCCATACCTTCCGACCTCCGCGGTAGGTGCGGGAGAATCCATCGAAACTCGGGGTGCCGCCAGGGCCGACGCCGACGCTGCCGCCGCCGCCTCCGCCGACGAGGACGACGCCAACGCCGACGCCGCCGCCGACGCTGCCGCCGCCGCCGCCGACGACATCCATCGACGACGACGACGACGACGGCGATGACGACGCCACTGACGCCGCCGCCGCGGGCGCCGCCGCCGACGCCGATGAGAAACCGCCGACGCCGACAACGACGACGACCTCAACAGACATACGCTCGGGGATGCACCAATCCTGGTCAGCGCTAAGGGTCAGCGGTCACCCTTGCCAACCAGGGCCACGCCATGAAGCTGGGCCAGGCGTGCGGAAACTCCAAAACCCAGGCCAACTGAGGATGGGCAGGAAGAGTCGGCCCGACATGGTTCAGAAACACGGGCCAGCCAGAACAAACTGGCTGACCCTTGCCTACGACGGAGCCAGGACGAAGATAAAGTCGGATGAGGATAAACTGAGAATCTCCAGGATCTGGAGGCTCTGGAGGATGTAGACGGCGTCGCGGCCTTCTCAGAGCGTTCCAGAACGCTCGGAGAGCGTTCCAGAACGCGCTGAAACGAATTAATCCTCGCCCTGACCTTAGGTCGGGCATGCCCCCCTACAGGCGGATTTGGGGCGACAAAGTCAAACATACACATAACTATTCGCAAAAAACTTACAAAATGATCCCCATCTTATTGATGGACTACTCTTGGATCTTCCTCCTGTAGAGGGACACGCCCGACGTAACCCTGGCCCCCTTCCGACCGCCAGCGCTGACCCCTGCGCATCGACGGATCCCCGGCGCGCTCCCGCCAACATCAGAAAGGGCCGGCGTCCACGGCGGGAGACGGCGCCGTGATGATGCCATTGAACGGGTCCTCCGAGTCGGAGAACATCTGGAGCCCCTGCCTGGCGGGCGCAGGCTCCGCCGCTCCGGAGGAGGAGCGCCGGGAGGCGCCCGGAGGGGGGGGGGCCTGGGAGGGAGGAGAGGGGGGGGGAGCACGCAGCAGCGCGCGCGAAGCGTTCCCCAAAGAGAGCACGGGCCGACCGGCGGCCTGCATGGAGCACCCTTGGCCGCTCGCCTATGCTCCGCCTCGGAGCTCTGTTCGTGGAGGTACCCGGGCAGAGATACGACGACCCGTCTGTGAATGCCGCCACTCCCGGCGGAGGAGGGGGAGGCTGGAGAAGGAGGAGGGGAGGAAGGAGGGACGAGGGAGGAGCAAGGAGCAGACAGGCAGAGAGACCAGGAGGGAGCACGAGGCGGCGAGGAAGGGCGGGGAAGGAGCAGGGAGGACGAGAATGGAGAAGCGTCGTGGATTCTCACACGTGTGAGCAAGGCTCGCCAGGATTATCGGGCTTGCGGCGGGGTTCCAGGAAGGTTCCTGTAGTCTCCTGCGACCGCTCTAAACTCTACGAACGGTCCCAGGCATCTCCAGAACTCTCTGCTGAACTTCAGAATCTCGAAAGCTCCCGAGGCGAGGCTTGCACTCAGGCGTATCGTTGTTATCGTTGTTATCGTTGTGGCTGCTTCGCCTGGGATGCAAGACGAAACGAAAAGCAAAACGGCCCACTAGGTGGCCAAAACACCGTTTAGTGATGTCCAGCCCTGGTGTACCAGCGGGAGGGGCCTGCCCTCCCTGCGAGAGGCTCAGGGCCAGGTTGGAGAGGAGGTGGTGGCCCCTCTCTCTGTGCTGGGCTCCCGCGGGAGCGTACCGCCTGCTCTCGCGCATCTGATCGGGAGTGTGTGGGTATATGGAGACAAAATCAAAGGTTGCATCACAGCGTTGTTTTATTACGTAACTGTGACACCATCCCATCTTCTGCATCACGTAATTTGCATCCCATCGTCTGGGCCACGGTCAAAAACGGGTCTTGCGCGAGATGTCCTGGCAATCTTGCGCGGCGGCTTTCGCGGGTCGCCAGCGCGGCACACTGCAATGGGACTGAAAGCGCTTAAGCATTGCCGTACGCGAGCAGCTTACGCGCCCATGTCGGGGCAGACGACCCCTGTCTTGCGTCGCTCACATAACTTTCCTCGTATAGTCCGCCCAACCTAGCTTGCACTGCATAGCTGACGCAGCATAGTACGGATTACGCCCCTGGTTTGCACCACACAGCCTGCCCAGCGCAACGTACACCTCATAGCTTACACCGCATACCTTGACCCATTGAGCCTACAACACATAGCTTGCACAGCCTAGCTTGAAGCCGCATGACTTCCACCGCATGTGTTGCACCAGAAGCCTTGCACATCCACAGTGCACAGGGGCCCACGCTGGCAAATGGACCTATTTGCTCGGTGTCCAGGGGTCGAGGGTGACGGCCCAGGACGAGGAGGGAGATGAAGGAGAGAAACATGAAGATGCCCCCAAAAGTCCTCCAGACCCCTGGGTAAGGATCCATTGCCGCAAACAAAAGATAAAGCAGCCTGCAAAAGCAACGACGCAATGCAAATGACACCACACTGCCCATCGCACATACAACAACAAGAACTGATGCGAACTAACATCATTAGGGTGCGATGTGTCATGCCGGCACGGACTTGCACCCTACAAAAAGCAGGGGGAAGGCAAACCAGGCCACGAAAGAACCCTGGTATGGAGTGCCACACTTTCAGGCATTGCAGATGTGTGCTGGCAGTTGAGGGGAACACCAGCCGACAGCAATGGAAACCAAAAGGGATATCAAATGCTGCCTCTGGCCCGCGCCAACTGGCTAGACTCCCAACGAATCAAATGAAACGTTCGGGTGTTGCTAGAAGTACCCTTGGCCCAAAGTGCCCCCAGGGTAGAAGTACCCAAAGTGGCCCAGACGGCCGCTAGGGCAACCCTCACGAGACCCAGAGGGGCCCAGGGGCTCCGAAATGGAGCGCAACACCCGAGGCGTGTTACGTGCTATGTGTCTCGCCGGCCCTGCGCTGCACGCCACGCCTGGCCGTGGCCTCGCACACTGCACTACAACAGCAAAGAACAGCACCGCACCAGCATTGCGATCGCCGTCAATCATCAAATCCACCACCCCACGTCAGCGATGCACCCACGCCGAAGCTGTGCACTGCGCATGCCGCGATGGACCGAATTGGAGGCACGCGCGGGAGAGTGGGGGCGCGAAGGGGGGGAGGGCTTCTGAAAGAGGGCTTCTCAGAAGGCCATCGCAATTGAGCCCCCCATTCTCCCACTCATTCTCTCTCTTCCTGCTCCGCCCCCTGGAACCTCAAAATATGGCCAGGGGCACCCCGGGCGAAAAGGAACTCCGAACATGAGCTTAACCCGCCTCATACTCCCTCATCAGCTCCTCCTCATCGTCAACCGCCTCATCATCAACATCGTCACCAGGTCTACCGCCAGCTTCTCGCGGAGTTCTCCACAGGTTTCTGCGCACGCCGCCCCCTGCCCCGAGAAGGAGAAGTGGTGGCGCGGAGGAGGAGGAGGAGGAGGAGGAGGAGGTACCAGCTGGGACAGCGATAGCACTCCAGCGTGCACCAACGCAAGGGGCGGCACGTCGGCCTCAAGACTCAAGACGAAGCCGTCCGCCGCGCCAAGGGGCCGAGGCCGCCCCTCCGCCCGAGGAGGGCTCCGAGGGCGCCGGCGGCGCAGCCCCGTCGCGCGAGCTCCGGGCGCGCAGGCCGAGGGCGCTCGCCGCGCGCCCGCCCGCCGTGGAGCAGGCGGACAGACAGCTGGGCTCGCAGTCATGGGGACTCGGGGGCGTCGCCGCCCAAGCCGAACAGTGCCGATTAGTGCCGGGTGGTGCCCTTTAGTGCGCGATAGCGCCCAGACCGCAGGTGCAGCGGGTGGGCGCCGAAGCGCCAGGACAGAAGGGGCGGGCCGCTCAGAGGTCGAAGTCGTGGTCCGGGGGAAATCCCGGGGCAGAGAGACCGGGGCGCTGAAGGCGAAGGGCGTCGGGCCCGGGAGCGGGAGTCGGGAGGGGACGACCCTGCGGGCCACGTCCACATCCACATCCAGTGCGTCTTGGAGTGTCGCGCCCTCCTCCCAAGAGCTACGAGGCGCATCGGATCTGGATGCACACTGGGCCCCCAAAGGCTTGACGTTATCCACATCCGGTGCGCCTCGACCTTGCGGCGCCCCTTCCAAGAAAGTCCAAGACGCACTGGATATGGATATAAATGCTGCCCGCAAGTCCACCCGCGGACCAAGCAGACCGAACAAAGTTGCGCAGGAGAACCAATTTCGGGACCCCAGGCCACGGAGAGCGCGCCTCCACTGCGGGGTCGGATCCCGACCCCGCGCGGAGCAGGCCGCGGCGACCCGCCACGGGCCCACGGTGGGGAAGAGGAGGAGCAGGAGGACCAGTGAAACCTAAGACTCATCAGCAATGCTGAAATACACGTTCCTTCCAAAATCCCTCTTCATAGGTCCCTGCAAGGGGTCGTTTCCGCTTAAGAGATTGCCCCGTTGGGGGGCAACCGTGCGAACATGTTGGAGCGTGCCACGAGTCAGCCTGACTGTTGAGTCTTGGCGGTCTGGAATCGTGCCAAAACACCATTTCTGAGACTTCAACACCGCGACTGAACGTAATTTCTGCGGTCCGGCAATCCTACATCGTTCCATAACATAATTTCTGGTACAATAACCATGAGAACCTATGAAACCCATACGAATGCCCGAAAATCATGTAGGCGGCGCTGAGGCGGGAGCCACATTCTGAAAAAAGAATCGCACTGAATCCGTGAAACTCGTGCAAGTAGTTAAAACACATGTGCGTGGCGCTAAGGCGACAACCACATTTTGAAATCGGCCCGCAATCAGTGAAATGATTGCACATGTTGGAAGCGAATGCGCGCGGCGCGAAGGCGAGACCCACATTTTGAAAACGACCCGCCCTCAATCCGTAAATAACTTGAAGATGTTTGAAACGAATGTGCTCGAAAACGAGCCGCCCTCAATCCGTGATACGCTTGCACATGTTTAAAGCCAATGCTCGCGGCGCTCAGGCGGGAACCACCTCTTGTAAACGACCCGCTCTGAATCCGCGAAAATCTTCGCAAGGTTTATCAAGACTGCGCAGGGCGCTAAGCCGAAAGCCCCACTTTGAAAAACCACCCGCCCTCAATCCGCAAGCCTCTTGCAATTTTCAAAAAAGTGCGCGCCGCTGAAGCGAGAGCCACATATTGAAAACCACACGTTTTCCATGTGTGAAACTGCTGCCAATGTTTAGGCATCAGGGTGAGAAGCGGTGAGGATGTCTCAAGCGAAACGCCCGGCCCGCTCTTGCGACCGGCCTCGGGGTGCGACAGGGACAAGTTGACAATTGAATGGAAGAGGAAGAGCAGGAGGAGGAGGAGAACGCTACTGTGTTACTCTTACATGCGCCTGATGGTGACCATTGGAGCGGTTTTTCAATGGTCACCTGGCAATCGTTTGATCCCCCCCACTGAAAGCCGAAGGACCCTGATGGGGGGCTGCTTTCTGACGAACTTTCGGGCCACCAGGTGTCAGGTGTCAGTAATGGGGGCCCAGGGACACACAAAAAAACAGACACGAATACAAGAACGTCCTATATTGTTTTACATTTTCTGGGTCCTCCCCTCTTCCCCCCCCACTTCCCACATCTCCCCAGAATCTTATCTTCCTGGGAGTCGACGACGAATGCTGTCTGTGTGTGTTTCCCCTCCTGGGCCAGGAGGAAGAGCGGATCTTTGTTGAATGCTGAAACAAAATCAGGCAATACCCCAAACATCGCCAACAGTAGTCCGAAAATCGCGCGCAGACAAAGCCTGTTTTACATCTTCTCTCAAACAAAACTATGCTTGAATACTCCTCCTGTCGCGGGACGCGCCCGACCTGGATGCAGGAGCCCTGGGGGCCTGCGGGTCGAGAGGCGCGGGCCGCAGAGGCAGCCCGGGGCGGGCCGCCGCCCTCCCGGCGGGGGCCCCCCGGCGGAGGCCTCGACGGGCCGTCCCTGGCCGCCGGCGAGGCGCCGAACAGGGCCTGCGGAGGGTCGGCGGCGAGCGAGGGGGAGGGAGCTCTGAGGCTCGAACTTCGAGGCTCGAACTTCGAGGCTCGAACTTCGAGGCTCGAGCTTCGAGGCTCGAACTTCGAGGCGCTGGGCCTTCGGGCGGTTTCGTGGGCTCTCCACGGTCTCCCCGCCCTCGGGATGCTCGCCAGCGGCAGCGCCTCGCCGAGGGCGCTCCAGGAACGCCCGGATCGTCCCGAACGCCCGCCGGAGACCCGAGCTATGACGGGGATACCACATCCGGCGGCGAGCGAGTGGAAAAATCATCGAATGATCGTCCCCAGACAACTTTTTGACTATTTTTGGGTATTCCTCCAGTAGAGGGACATGCTCGACGTAGGATTGGCGGCGAGCGAGGGGGGAAATGAGAAGGAAAAGGCCTTCTCAGAAGGCGGCGGGACTCCTCAGAAGCCCTCGCACCTTCTGAGGAGTGTCGTCTGTCGTCGGGGAAGGCTTATAGAAGACTTCTCAGAAGGCCCGGGGACTTCTGAACTTCCTGAGAGGGCCTTCCCCTTCGCACTTCCCCCCCTCGCTCGCCGCCGAGAGGGGGGAGGGGGTGGAACAGACTGCCCGACAGAAGGGCATAAGAATGATGGGAAAGAGGAGCGACACCGACACCACCAGGGTGCCACCCCCAGCGAGGAGGTCCACGATGCCTCCCCGAATTGAGGCCAGGGGACGTCTCGAGCGAGAGGTGGGAGGGGGGGCCACACCACAAGGGGGGCCACCCCTAGCTTCTCGCGCTGAGCTCCCTGGTGGTGTTGGTGCTGCTTTTCCTTCTTCCTGGAAGAACATCCGCAAGAACAGGCAACCCTCCGCCGGCCAAAGCACACCGAACATCATAGGGTGCCCTCCCCCAGGATGCACAAGACCATCAGGCAAGCACGAAGAGCAGCAGGGTACCCTCCCTCGATCATGTGCTTCAGTCCGACCGCAGGTCCCCTGGTGGGGACAGACCGCCCCCTGTTGGTCGAGTGGGAGATCGACTACAGAATTCATTGATTTAGCCCCGCATTGTATCTTTTCCGTCGCCCGATGCGTCGCCGGTGCATCGCCGGTGCATCGCCGATGCAATGCATCGGCGATGTGGCGCGATCCTCCGACCCCCTAGGACGCAACTACTGGAAGGTCTTCGTCGGAATGATCATAGAAGACGAAGCCACACTAGGGGGCCACAGCGCTGGATTAAGCCGCGGATCAAGCGGGACTGAGCTGGGTTCAAGCGAAGCGTGATTAAACGGGATTAAGCAGAAATAAGCCAGATTGAGCAGGATTTCGAACTAGGGCGAATTCAGAATTTGACCTCCCAGGAGCTGCATCCGAAGACCCCGTCTGCTCCGACCCCGCCTGGGAGGCCCAGACAAGGCAGGGGGGGGGGCCGGGCCTCCGCCGAAGGCCTCGGAGTCTCTGCCTGCGCCTCCCCCGGAGGTGCTACTTGTTTGCCTATTGTTTGCTATTCTCTGCGAGCGCGGATCCAAGAACTCCTCTCCGAGCCCCAAACAGTTTGTGTTCATAGCGCATCCTCCGAGGGTTGCCTTCGGAACTGTTTGCCGCCAGTGAGCTCAGGGCACGTCCTCTCCAGCTGCCCCAGGAGCCGCCTGCTGGGAGCCTGCGGGGCCGTGGCCGGTCGGTCCCTGCTGGGAGCCTGCGGGGCCGTGGCGGGGAAGGAGGAGGAGGAAGGACTGCCCTGAGGTCGGGCAGGTTCCCCTACAGGCGGATCTTCGAAGAACATATTCAAACACATTGAAAATAGCAGAGAAATCGTCCCCAATCTATTTATTATGACTATTACTATGTTGCTCCCATCGTACTTAAAGACCACATCCCAGAAATAATTCCGAGCACTCCGTAAGAGTGTCGAAATAGTGTCGGGCGAGTGTCTCCAGGGGCCCGACACGTGAACACCCTCGGGTTTCGGGACTTCTCTGGAGGCTCGGAACGCTTTCTGGCAGTCAGGGCTAACAGTAGGCTGCCTGCAATATCATAAGACTGCTCTTGGCTGCTCCTCCTGCAGAAGGACGTGCCCGACTCCTCCTCCTCCTCCTCCTCCTCCTCCTCCTCCTCCTCCTCCTCCTCCTCCTCCTCCTCCTCCTCCTCCTCCTCCTCCCTCCCCTCCTCCTCCTCCTCCTCCTCCTCCTCCTCCTCCTCCTCCTCCTCCTCCTCCTCCTCCCTCCCTCCCCCTTCCTGCAGAGGGACGTGCCTGCGCAGGCTCCGCCCAGAGCGCGCCGCACGACGGCCCGAGGCCCCCCGAGAGAGTTGAGCGCCCCAATGCACTCGAGAACGGCGGCCTGTGGCAGGGCTCCGCAGGGCTCCCTGCGGCGGGCCAGGCGTTCTGTTGCTCCCATGGAGGAGGAGGGAGGAGGAGGAGGAGGAGGAGGAGGAGGAGGGAGGAGGAGGAGGAGGAGGAGGAGGAGGAGGAGGAGGAGGAGGAAGTAGGGGGCAAACAAACCTACCCTGCTATTGACCACCCTCGCTTCCGAGAGATGCCAAGCGATGCCAAGCTGCGGCCTGTACTGGTCAGGCCGCTTGACGGGGAGGCGCGTGGTATGACTTGGTTTTGCCTGGAAGCGAAAGCGGGGCAGGTAATTCACGCTCTGATTAAGGACCACCTCCCAGAAATACTTTCGAGCACCCGACGAGGTGCCCAAAGGAGTGTCGAAACGGTGTCGAAACGGTGTCGGGCGAGTGTCTCCCCAGGGCCCGACACGTGAGAGCCCTTGAGTTTCGTTAGTTTTTTGGGCGCTCGAAATTCTTCCCGGTGATCAAGGCTGAAGTAGGTTGGAACATCATGAGCCAAGAGTCGGCGGTGGACACACCTCCCTTTCGTAAACCTCCCTTTCGTGAAAACGGCCTGGGACCGAAACCGACGGACCTGAAGCCGCAAAATGACGGCCGTGACGCCCTCTCGCGAACCGAAAACGGCCAATTCGCTGATCGACGCGTCAGGGTAGGAGGTCGATCAACCTCCGAAAATTAGCACCCATCGGAATCGCGGCTCCACCCAGCGAATCGACTCGCATGGAATCCGCCTCCTCCGCCTCTCGAGAACAAAAAATCCACCCCCACCCCCAGAACAACCAGCCCGGCACGCGAAATCATTTTTAGTAAACGCGCCCCAAGAAGGAGGAATCGAACGAGGCAGGGCTGTTTGATAAACGCCCAAGGCCGTTTAGTAAACCCCAATTGTCTGGTCTGGGTGTTTTTTCCTCCCTTGATTTTTGACGTTGGCCATACACTAAGCGAGAGCTTGCGGCGTCGTAAGAAAAAACGGTGCGATGAAAAAGCTAATACATAACGCCTGGCTCTCGCAGCGGCAAGAAGAGAGGCGTGAAGAGGTGGATCAAGAACGTGGGCCCCCGAGGGCACAGAGCGTGGGCCAGCCATGCGGAACCCGCCTCCGCCTCCTCCTCCCCCTCCGCCTCCGCCTCCGCCCAGACGGGTCTGGCCACGGGAGTGCCGGAGAACCCTCTCTCGGCCGCTGCCTCGGACGCCCCCCGCCCTCGTGGGGCCTCCGGCGGCCGCTCGGGACGGGGCGGGCACGCCCCCGGGACGCCTCTCGACGAGGCGCGGCCGGCGGCAGGCACCCCGGGGCTCCCGAGATCCCTGGATGGGACCGCCGTCTCGCGGACGGTCCCCCCCCGCCCGCCTCCGCTCCCCCTCCCCCCCGCTGCCCGCACACACACCCGTGCCCGGCCAGGGCCATCCCGTGCCCCCGGATGAGGACCCTCCGTGGAGGAGGAGAGAGCTGCAGGAGCAGGAGCTTTTCGGAGCTCCGCGCGCATGTCTCGGATCGGCGCCGGACCCTCCTCCCTGGCGCGCGGAGCAAGCCCGGCGCGGCGCCGGAGGGGGATCGGGCGGGGCCCGGTGAGCCCGCACCAAAGGTCACTCTGGCGAAGGGTCACTCTTACGTGTAGTCGATATAAGCCGATTTCCCAGATAATCACAAAGTGGGGATCATAAAATTCAGGGTTCGGGGGGATAGCAATAGTTCTCCCGGCATCACGTATGTACGATAATAGGTTAGTATGGTATGGCGATGTCCTGCTCGCTCTGGCGGGGCCTCCTTGGAGGGGTCGCGGGAGCACGAAACCTGAAATTGTGAGAACCCCATCGCCCTGCCACACGTTCATGAGTGAGAGAAGCTGCGATGGTGAGAGTCCCATAGCCCTGCCGCACGTTCGTGATCGTGTTGCTACTCAACACTAGAAGATTGCAACTTCGATTCGTATTCACCCTGGCGAAACTGAAGTTCGGCCTCGCCGCCCCTCTTCCCTGACCAACTCTGTCTTGGCCCGGGAGAGTCACTTCTCATGGTTTTACAGCGGGGGGATTCTTTATCTGGAGGGTTCCAAAGGGGGCTTTCGGGGAGGGGGTTTTCCAGAGAGCCCCCCAGGGGCCTTGGAACCTCGTCAAAATAAGGGGTGCGAAGGCCCTGGGGGACCCCTCCTGGAAGACCCCCTCCCCAAACACCCCTTCGGAAACCTCCAGTTTATTGTCCGGGGTGCTCGGCTACTCCACCCGAAGGGCCTGGCAAGGGCCATTCTGCGCCCCAGGATGGTGCAGAGGCTCTCCTGGCCTCGGCGGGGAGTGTGAAGGGGACGAAAAAGAGGACCACGATCGAGACCGAGCGCACAAACGTTGGCGCCCATCCTGGTCGTCGTCCCTCTTGGAGTTGGTTCGTGGATCATCCTCGCGGATCGGCGACGGCCGGCGTGGACCATGGCCAGGACAGGCGTCGACACGACCCCGCACCATCTTGGCCATGGCCGTCGCGCCGCTTTCCTCGACAGGCGGGCGCAGACTGCCCGCTGCTCTGCGGAAAAGTGCCCCGTGAACGAGACGTCCTTGTGCGCGGCTGCGTGCCGAACACGCCTACGGCCATGCGCTGGCACGAGCGGATGCCGCAGCTCTGGCTTCCTTCTGGAGCACCCTGGGAGGGCTCCACGGAGTGGCCATCCCCCAGCTGTTGCGGAAGCCGACTGGAGACGCGCACCATGCCGAAAATCCATCGCTGAAGCAGTGGGCTCAAGTCGGGCATGCCCCTCTCTAGGCGGAATTCAGAAAAAGTCAAACAACAGTCTGGGGACGATTTTTCCGGTGATTTGGGCTATGTTTGAATATGTGTTGATAATGTGTCACTCTTCTTCCCAAGTCCGCCTGTAGGAGGACATGCCGGACCTAACACTGGGTTCTCGGGGGGCCTGCAGCCGCACCAGCTGCGCCACCGCGTCCCCGAGCGCCACCCGCCGCGCCAGGTGGGTCCGCTCCTGCACCGCGAACGCGGCGCCCGCCACCTCTGGTGGGGCATCCGGCGCAGCCCGAGAGGCCGGGCATTCGCTCACGTCCACGGGGCGGCGGATCCGGTCTACTCGCCCTCCCACTGCACGTGAGGAGGGTGGTCTTCCCGTGTTGGGGCGAAGGGCTGCCCGTGTTGCGATGAGGCAGTGTTCTACGTGAGGCAGTCCTCTCGCGCGGGTTTCGCTGCTCCGTTCTCCATGGCTCCTCCTGCTCGCAGGTGGCTAATCCTGCTCCTCCTCGTCCTCCTCCTCCTCCTCCTCCTCCTCCTCCTCCTCCTCCTCCTCCTCCCTCCTCTTACTCCTCCTCCTCCTCCTCCTCCTCCTCCTCCTCCTCCTCCGCCGCCGCCGCCGCCGCCGCCGCCGCCGCCGCCGCCGCCGCCGCCGCCGCCTCCTCCTCCTCCTCCTCCTCCTCCTCCTCTCCTCCTCCTCCTCCTCCTCCTCCTCCTCCTCCTCCTCCTCCTCCTCCTCCTCCTCCTCCTCCTCCCTCCTCTTCCTCCTCCTCCTCCTCCCTGTTCCTCCTCCTCCTCCTCATCCTCCGCTTCCTTCCTGTTCTTCCGCCACCTGGGAGCCTCGAGCTGCGCGGGCAGTGCCGAGCGATCGCCCCGATGCCCTCGGCATCCCTCCTCCCAGCAGGTGCCAAGGGAGGGAGGAAGCGAGGCTTAGCGGTGGGGGGGAGAGATACGAACAGACGGTCCTCCTCCTCCTCCTCCATTTCCTCCTCCTCCCTTTCCTTCGTTAAAGGCTTCACGACTTCTGCCGTCCTTCGACTCGCGCTGGAGCGGCCGCGAAGTGCTCCAACTTTCCCTGGAGATCTCTGGATTTCTCTGGATTTATCCGGATGTGCCTCCATTTGTCTGGATTTACCCTGATTTATCTCGATGTATCTGCATTTACCTGGATCTATCTCGCTCGACTCCCACAAGTCGATTGGCGAAAAGTCGATAAGCCCTTAGGGATTCCTCCCTCCTCCTCCTCATCCTCCTCCTCCTCCTCCCCATATTCCTCTTCCTCCTCTTCTTCCTGCTAATTACTCTGCCGCCGCCGCTGCCGCTGCAAGGGCCCAAGGGGACTTGTGCGGATGAGCAGGGTGGGCAGGGCGAGCCAGATAGTGGAGAGTACGACTGGCACTTATCGAGGCGTTCCCAGGATCCCCCTCCTCCTGATCTATATCCAGCCTCCTCCCTCTCATCCTCCTCCCTCCCTCCGCCCGTGTCCTCCCATACATTCTCCCCCCTCCCTTCCTCCCTCGCTGCCGCCCCCATCCTCCCCACGCCTTCTCCGCTCCCTGCCTTCCTGCCCCCCCCCTTCCCCGCTCCCCCCCCTTCCCCCCTCCATCTTCCTCTCTCCATCTTCCTCTCTCCCTCATCCCCCTCCTTCCCCGCTCCCCACCTTCCTGCCCCCCGCCCCTCCTCCCGCCCCCCCTGCCCTCCGCCCCGATCCGCGCCCCCCCCCCCCCCCGACGACGACGCGGACGAAAGCGCGGAACCGCGGCCGAACTCGCGACGACGACGACGACGACGACGACGACGACGACGACGACGACGACGACGACGACGACGTACAGAGCCGCGGCGGCGCGGTGCGCTCGCCGATCCCGGGCGGCGCCCACGAGCCGCGCCAGCGCGAGGGGGGCGGCCGCGAAGCGGTCGGCGGGGCTTCCGCGTCGGCATTTGGGGGGGCGGTCTCACCCGGACGTGACCGCAGGCAGGCCCCCCGGAGGGGGGGTCCGCATGCGGCGGGCTCGTGTCGTGCCGACTTCGGCGCTGGTGAAAGGACACCGCGGGAATCGGTCAGCCTTGCACGATCGGCCCTTTCCGCAACGGCCGAACGTGCAACATCGAGCGGCGCTGGGTCGCCGGCGGCGTTCAGCGTTGAACGCCGGCGGAGGAGTCGCCGCCGCTCGACACAACGCGCACCCACCGTAGATGGGGTTGGAGGATCGCGCCGCATCGCCGATGCATCGCCGATGCATCGCCGATGCAGCTTTGATGTATCGCCGACCTCGGCGACTCTTCGGCGACGTCGGCGTGCGTGGAGAAAATCGGGCTCCGCATCGAGCCGCATCAGCTATGCATCCACGATGCGGCGCGATCCCATGACCCCATCGACTCCGAGCCCACCTAAGAGGTCCAGAACAAATCGGGATGGAAAGCTTTTGGCCTTTTCGGCCTCTTGGGGCCCTCGCCGAGCCCCAGGAGAATCAAAAAACGTCTTGGGAAGAAACACCGGCCCTGGGGAATCGAATAACCTCGAAACGTCGCATGTCTGGGCAGAGCACCCGCCAGTGGGGACAGGGATCGCTTACACGGTGCTCACGAGGCCCGCGTCGGCCCCCCTCGTCGCCGTGCCGGCTGTCGGGCGGGTGGCAACGGGGGGTGACCTCAATGGGAGGTCAGGAGAAGGACCCTATAAAGGGGCACTTCAAGGCCCCATTTCGGCCCCTGCTGGCCCCAAGAAGGACCCGAAAATTATCCCAGTGCGGCCCTACCTAGGAGTTGGAGCCTCTAGGAAAGCAACATTACTAGGAGCGGTAAACGCCGTCCTCCTCCTTCTCATCGTCGTAGTTGTAACAGTAGCGGTAGTAGTAGCATGGAACATACGTGCGCACACACACACACACATCTATATAGTACATGTATATATATAGAGAGAGAGAGAGAGCAGCAGCAGCAACAGTAGTGGATGCTGTGTTGCGCTATGCTATGTTTTGCTATGCTATGCTATGCTCTGCTATGCTATGCTATGCTATGCTATGCTGCGCAATGCTATGCTGGGCTAGGCTATGCTATGCTATGCTATGCTGCGCGATGCTATGCTGCGCTATGCTATGCTGCGCTATGCTATGCTATGCTATGATTTTGCTTTGCCTTTGTTTTTGCCTTCACTTTTGCCTTTGCTTTTGCTGTTGCTTGGCACCCAGGGAACGCAACTGGGGGAACCGCGCGTTTGCTTTTACCTTTGCTGTTGCTTTTGCTTGGCTCCCAGGGGACTGGGGGAACCGCCCGGGGCGCTTTCCACTGCCCGGCCCCTTTAAGCTAGAGAGTAAGAACCCTTCTAGGCAGAGCCTAGGTAGGGAAAAAAGGGTCCCTTTAGGGCCCTTCCCTTCACCCCCCATGTATTGAGCAGGGGCCGACGGTCCCGGCATTCCTCTAGGTCTACCACACAATGTTCTTAGAACCCTGAAATGTTCTCAGAATAACAACAATGACCTGAGACAGGAACCCGATGTGTTACAACGCGACAGACTCAGCCAGACATGTCCTGGGAACATCTCGTGCAAACCACAGAGGTCCTTAGAACACCCCTCTCATGGTGGGCCCGTAGGCGAGCCAGGACGCTTGGCCACTGCCTGCTCAGGGCCCTTCCCGTCACCCCCCGTGTAGGTCGCCCCCCACTGTCACCCGCCCGAGGCTGCCCTGGGAGTGCGCGCCGCGAGGCGGCCCGGATCCTCGGAGGCCTCCTCGGAAGCCTCGGGGGCTGCCTGAGAGGAGGCCCCCCTCGGGCCTCCCAGGCCTCCAGGAGCCCCCCCCCCCCCCCCCCCGGGGGGCACTTTCCTCGCCCCGCAGCCCCCGCCGGCGTCCCCAGGAGGCCGCCCCCCTCGCACCACGGCCCCTGCGGGCGCCGCCGGCGGTGCTGGGCCGAGGGTCGGCGCGGCGTTGCTGCCGCGGTGTGCAGAGCGCGATCCCGAATACGCGTGTGCTTCACTGAAGCAGCTCGGCGCTCGGGGCGCCAGCTCCACAGGTGATGCGAAGGGGACTGCCCGGTGCAGCAGCGGATCCAAAAGGCGAGGGGACGACGAGACCAAAGACGACGACGAGGCTCCGTGGACGTATGCCTTCACGTAGGTGCAATTGTATCGGCGCAGGACGCCTTGCTGTGAACAGGTGCGCATGTACACCATGAGTCCTTGCGCGCTCCGTAGCCGCCGCGGCAAGTCTAAACGCACTCCACTTCAAATCCATAGAAGAATTCGGCAGGCGCTCGCAAATTTTCAAACGCTTTCGGATGTCAGCGAGATAGGTCTTCAGACAACCCTCCCCAAATGGTGGAAACGAATTATCCGTTTCGACGCCCTCATTGACGCCCTGGGGGCGGAGTTCATTCCCCGCCGAAAGAAACCGAAGGGGGGGGGGGTAGTCGGGGCCCGAGATCCAAAAACGCTTTCCACGACTCGCAAAGTAGCTATTCGCAAATGGGCAACACCTGCCGCGGGGGATTCACGCCTCATGATACAGAGGAGGACATGTGTTTGTCCGACGTTTTTCGTTGAGTAGGCGCTTTGCGAGTAGTGGAACGTGCTCGGGGACGAAATGCTTTCCATCAACTGCGCCTCGTCGGAGACGTTCCGGGGTTTGCCAGAATCGTCCCCAACATCATGCTGCCCCCATCATACTGATCGGGCGACGGGAAGTCACAACAGTCACTGTAGCAAGTACTTCTTCCGTGCCTATGTTCGGTACAGCTGGCGCGGCTGAGCAGAAGGAGAGATGTGGGCACGCGCAAACGCTGCCGAGGAAACTTGAGCATCGTGGGTTGAGGGTTTCACGCGTGGATAGCCTGGCGCCGAGAGCCCATCCCCCTTGCCCCGCGCCGCCCTCCGCCAGGGGAACGGCTCTGTCCGAATCTCAGACGTCGACAGAACGAACCCGCCCATCGTTGGTCATGAGAACACACGAGTGTACTGGAAATGACTACTGATCGCGAGCTCAAGTGGTCACTCGAAATTCGGCAGCACTGTCGCCAGAAGACATGACTGCTGATTGGGGGGGGCTTGGCCAAAGAAGGCTCTGTTTGAGTTCTGACTCGCGGGCCGCACCTCTGCCCGGGGAGGCCAAGCCAGGGGTGGTTTGGTCTCCCGGAGAGAGGGGGTCTTGGAAATGCATTCCCCTGCCGGCGATCCCCAGCGGCGCGAGGGCAACCGCCCTTCCTGGCCGCGCGGATTGGATAAACGATGAGAGCTGCGCTTCTGTTCCAGGACAACGCTGATATTCTCCTCAGTGGTCGAATCATC